CTGGATGCTGGCCTCGGCTCTAAAGACTCTCCCAAGGCTTACGATGGCCTCAGCCCTCTGCCACAGATGTTCCCGAAACCAAACCCCGGGGGAGGCTCTCTCTGTGGTGCTTCGGCAGCTCGGAAGCACCGGGAAAGATCCTTTCTCCCTAGCAAGCCTATTAAGGCAGCCTATGGAATAGTACTGCTAAATCCAAGCCCTCACAAAGGGGGCTGTGCAAATCTAAGCCGTTTAAACCCGAAGCCCTTACAAACCTAAGTCGTCTAAATCCACACATAGGAGACTTAAGCATTAGACAAAGTAGCCAGAGCTTCAGGTGTAGTATTTATTGACTATGGAGGCTCCTATAGTACAAACCCCTATAAGGTCTATAAACCCTAAACCCTAAGCCCTAATAAGCCCTAATAAGCCCTATAAGCCCTATAAGCCCTATAAGCCCCATAAACCCTAAACCCTAAATTAAGGTTCCTCCGAGCTCATTGGCCCAAACCCAGCTGGGTGGTTGTCAAAATTATGGTCCCTTTTGGGGTACCGTAAATAATAGGTGCCGTATTATAATAAGGACCCAAAACGGGACCATAATTTTGACAACGACCCAGCTGGAAGTCCAGGTCCTCTCCACGAAGGCTTCGACGTCGCTGTCACGGAACGCCTCTCCGCCGAGGCTTCCGCTGCGCTCCGCAAGCGAGTGAGCCTGGGAAGAGGCCAGGTCTCAAGGCTTTTCGCCTCAATCTAACCCTAATCCCTAAACCCTAATCCCTAATCCCGAAACCCTAAACCCTAATCCCGAAACCCTAAACCCTCAGCCCTGAACGTCGCCTCAGGGGCCTTCTGCCCTGAAGAAGCTTCTGAAAAGTCTGAGGCCTGGAGTTAGGCTAGTGTGTGTGTGTGTGTGTGTCGTCTCTAAGACTGCGCTTCATGGCCTGGATCATGAACTTGGCAAATGGGCTCACTGAAAGCCAAAGCACAAGAGCAAGCCGAAGACAAGCTTTCAGACTTCTACATACCATCGTCTGGGCTAAATACACTCAGATAGACAGACAGATAGATAGGTAGACAGATCGAGCGATCGATACATCGATCGATAGACAGACAGCTAGTTGGCTAGCTAGCTGGCTAGATAGATATAGATAGATGGGTATATAGAGAGATGCATGGAGAGAGAGAGAGAGAGGAACCTGTAACGTTGGGTAATAATGACGGCTGTTCATGTTGTCACCGTTCTCCTCCTTCTCCATAAGGGCACCGACGGCTGCGTTGCTGTCTTGAGGCGGTTGTTTATGACGGTGAGGATGAGACAGAGGGCGGTGATGGTGAGGATGATGAGTGTCGGCTTGAGAATCATTCTCGCTTGAGTGTCGTCACCTGTATCGCAGACGTGTTTCCGTAGCATGTCCACTACGTGCTCCCCTAAACTACAAAGCCCTCAATTCTTGCAGCGCTTAACTTTGTATACTGGCTTCTGTTGCGATCGGGCAGCGTGTTGCGAGGCGCTGGCGCTGTGCTTGGCGGCGTGCCTTCAGAAGTACCAGCTCAGCCTCCGTTTCAGGGCTTAGGGTTCATGTCTAAGGCTGCCGGTTTAGGGTTTATGGGGTTGCGTTCGAATTAATGGCTCTTGCAGCATGCAGTAAGGCTTCATTGATTGTTGGATCTAAATCGAGGCCGGGTACTTGCAGTAACGCGAGTTTAAGACCGGTCAGCTATGGCCTCTCCCCACACAGCACTCCAATCTCGAAGTCCTCGGAACCTTCACCAGAAGCAGCCAGATTAAGCACGCAAGCAAAAGAAGGCTCCTCTGGTTTTAGGGTGTCCGACACCGCAAACCCTTGAAGAGGGGGCCTTTCAGCCTCTTCTATGAACCCATGATCTACATCAACCCCGAAGTCCCTTTGCCTTCAACCTTGATCGCCTGAGCCCTTAAGCCCTTAAAACACCCAAACCCCAAACCCTGAGCAAAACCCGAAACACGACCTAGTCAGAGCCTATGCAAACCCTGACCAACATAATCCTATGAGACCCTGCAGCAACCCGAACCGAAGAAAGTGCCTTGAAGCGCTCCAGCTCCTGCTCCAGATTTTGGATCATCCTTGGCGTCATCCGACCCGAAAAAGTTTAGCGCTTTGGGTTTAGGGTTTGGAGTTTGGGTGTCTGGCATTTCGAAATGTGGGTTTAGGGCTAAGGATCAAGTGTTGGAACATCTGGCATTCAGGGAGTGGGGAGTTTTCCCTACAGTTTGGGAAGCTCCTATTTTCTGAAACTTCCCGTTTTGTTAAAGCCTGGAGGATTCAGGGCTTCAGCATCCTGGGGTTCGGGGGACGTCATCGACAGCCCTTTAACAAGGGCCATGCGGCTCCCATGGAGTTCCTCGGGGGTCTTTAAAGCCTCGACCTCGAAGACTGGAGGCCTGAAAACTCATCCGACAAAACTGCGACATTCCAAAGGCGCCTCGCCAATGTCCTTGCCTGCAGACGCGACCGGTGCCGGTGACTTAGGGGCTGATCATCTGTGGAATGGCAAACCCTAAACCCTAAACCCCTAAACCCTAAACCCTAAAGCCCTAAACCCTAAACCCTAAACCCCTAAACCCTAAAGCCCTAAACCCTAAAGCCCTAAACCCGCAGCCGCTGCAGTTCGGTCGCCAGGCAAACCGCCTCCGCCCTTCTCTTCACCAATCGGCTCCCTTGGTCCCCTCACTTTCTGTCCTCCAAATCCTAAAACCGAACGCTACACCGCAATCTTCAAAAACCAACAATGCACACCTGTCAGGGCTCGAGGGTTTAAGAAAGCAGGTATAAACAATATACCTCGTGGCCTCATTGGCCTTCCTCTTCCGTTTCATTGGGGTCCAAGTACACGTTGTTGTCTGAGTACTTGGACCGGCAGGGAAAGCCTGAATTGAGTGGGGCCCTTACAACATATGAATGCCGTACTCCTCCTGTCAATTCAGTACAGAACTACTCATAGCTGGAACCCGAGATATGGGAAGGCGATTTATCCCTAAACAGAAGACACTTCTGCGAGAAAGCCATAAACAGCCCTAACCCGAAACTCCAGTCTTTCAGAGTTGAAAGCTCCCAAATTCCAAACCCTCCCCTAAAGCCCTAAACCCTCAAACCCTAAACGCCGAAGCGAACCTAAAGCTCATCCGAGCCGCAGAGCCTGCTTCTCAATGAGCTGCCACTGCTCCTGCGCCTAGCATTGCCGTGCCGAGCCCTAATGTTATAACTAGGACGGGGTTTCGGGATAGGGTTTAGGGTTTAGGGTTTAGGGTTTAGGGTTTAGGGTTTAGGGTTTAGGGTTTCGGGATAATTTACAACAGTCTGAAGCCCTATACAAACCTTGCATGTAGCCCCAAACAGGGCAAAAAAGGCTGTTCACCATGTATTGCAGGGTGGAACCACTCATAAACCCTACAAGTGAATCACAATGGGACTTAAGGTTTGGGGCATAGGGTTTAGGTAGGGTCTTGCAATTTTGGAACGGCTGCCTGGGGACTCAGCCTATCGGATTACCGCTAAACGGATTCCAAGCTTCACTGCTCTCATTGCTGCCTCAGTAGCTGTTGTAGAAGGGTTTTTAGAGTTCAGGGCTTGGGGCACGGCTTGTGAAGGCACCCACAAATACCCAAAGCATAGGCCTTGACATTTCTGAGAACTGAACTATGAACCCAAACCGCGAAAACGCTAACCTGAAACCCTTCAGCCCCCTGCAGTCCCCGTTGTCGTTGCTTTTTCTGGTGAACCAATCTCATACCATAGGCTCCTAACCCACCGCAGACAGAAGGAGCTGCAGTCCAGACGCTCGGTACTATAGGGGCCTTAATAATTAGAATAGGGTTTGATTTCCTGTATAATACAATCATCATAAGGAACCCCAAAAATAATATAGGTAATTATTGAGGCCCGATTCACTCTAAACCCCAAGGATCTCCAGCAACCGGCACCCCGGAACGGACTGCTTTGACTTGTCCAGTATCCTAAGGGAACTAAATGTTACCCTTTGGGATTATATAGGGATTCTAGTACCCCAAAAGTGTTCAAGCGCGACGTGAGACAAGCTGCGCGCCAACGAGGTTCAAGGTTACCTATTCTGCTACTAAGATGAAGTTGTCATGTCCAGATGCGGGGTGAAGCCCACATACCCTTCTGTGACAAAAAACGGAACCCCCCGCAGTACTCTGTTCTAAGTGTGCTCCGTCCCAGATAAGCTGCATGGCAACTCTCATGCGAACCAGTGCAACACCCTTTCATATAGGAACAATGCTGCAAGTCCCCCGAAACACCACCTAAGAGCAAGTAGCACTGTGTAAAACAAGACCGAGCCCCCCCCCGGACAATCAGAAATTAAGAATTAAATTAAGCTACTGATTAAATATTGGGAATTAATTAAGTCATTTATTAATAATAGATTTTAATTTCACCAGCGACTGCACACCTCCTGCGCAAAACTTCCGAAGATCCGTTGAGCTAAGAATTCCGTTGGACCCCACTGTCGCGTTGCCCCCGATCCTTGATTTCTAGCCCCTCAACCTGTAATCCATCATCCCTGAACCTTAAACCCTAAACCCAAAAGCCCAAAAACCCTAAAATCCTAAACCCTGAACCTTAAACCCTAAAGGCCTAAGCCCTAAAAGTCCAAAAGCACCGCTCCCAAAAAGCCCTAAACCCTAAACCCCTAAACCCTAAACCCCTAAACCCCTAAACCCCTAAACCCTGCAAGCTTTCAGGCTTGGCAGCTGCAGACGCTTATGTGTCCTGCGCGGCTTCGTATGATCAAAGGCATTCGCTGGGGTAGTGTGGCCAAAAGACCGCTTCGCTTAAGCCATAGCTGGTGTCCGAGCCACTTGCCCCTCTACGGTGCCATCATCGACAGCTAGAGCACCCGAGAGCTGTTACCACTTACATGGTAGCGTTTGAGCCTGTCTTCTGAATCGTGATTCGGGAGCAGAAGTGGTTCGATCCAGGGAAACAGAAGCTCCGGTCTGGTTAGCCCGACTGGAGATGGCAAGTGGAACAGGGTCCGTGGGAAGGACCAAGGACGGGGTGCCGATCTGGGATGGGGATCCCGGATCCTACAACGAGTTCGCGGAGGCGGTTCGACTCTACGAGCAGGGGACAGCATACCACAAGCGGCCTCAGGTAGGACCGCGGGTGGCAGCCGAGTTGACAGGAGCGGCCCGACGCTTCATCTCGGGACAGCCGGCGGACTGGCTGTCCTACCAAGGCGGCACCGAGGCTCTCCTGGAGCATCTGCGGAAGGGGCTGGGGAAGCCCCGAGTGGCGGAGGTAACAGAGCATCTGAGCAAGTTCTTCAAGTACTGCAAGCGCAAACCGAGCGAGAGCATCAATGAGTATGTGGCTCGGCGCGCGGAGGTGTACTTGAGGGCTCAACAGGCACTAGCCCGACTTCCTCAAGCCGCGGCGAGCGCCAGGCCAACATCGCGGAGTGGAGCGACGACACCTACGTGGCATGGGACGTCGACTACCTGGAGCCGGAGGACCTCCGTGGACACCGTGGCCGAGGAGGACAACAATGAGGAGGACCGCGACGAGCCCACGGGGGATGCAGCGAGCAACCGAGACTCGTGGACGTGGTACTCTGAACCATGGTGGTACTCAGGATGGAGCTCAACCTGGGGTAGCCAATGGAGCTCAGAAGCCGGAGGGAGCTGGGGAGGATCCAGCTACAGGGCGGCCAACGTTGCGCTGCCGGAGATCCTTCCGGACTTTGTCCAGGGGTGGCTACTACTACAAGATGCTGGCTTGGATGCCAATGAACGGGGGCTGGTCCTCACCACGGCCGGGGAGGATTTCCGAGTGGCGACGATTTCAAATGCCCTACGAGCTCACTTTCCAGATGGTGACTTGAAACGACGCGATGGTGGTCGGAAGCAACATGGCTACTGGGGTACTACCGAGGATGACGAAGTGGAAGACTGGGAACCAGAACCTCAGGAAGAAGCCGAAGTTGCGGAGAACCTCAATGATGAGGGCTTCGCAATGTGGAGTGAGGCCCAGAACGAGATTGCCGAGGCCCTGGCCGCCATCGGCGGAGCTAAGAAGACCTTGAAGGAGGCACGGGCAAAGCAGCATGCGGTGAAGATGTCACGGCAGTACTTCCGCGTCGGAGGCAAGAGCACCGGGAAAGGAGCGGCGCCGCGCCGTCACACAGATGACTCCCAGCTCATCTGCCTGGGTTGTGGGAAAAAGGGACACAGAGTAGCCAATTGCCCCAACCCCCAAGCGGCGAACCTCGCGGAGAATGAGACGGCCTCGTTCATCTGCTTCTCGGAGCACCTGGAGGCGCCAGAGACCGAGATCTTGGAGACCTCGGAAAAGGAATCGGAGGTTCCCACAGCCGACTGCGTGGAAACCGAGACAGCGTCATATCTACGAGAGAAGCAGCCTGGCCAGGTGGACGGTGAGGCTTACGCGACCGGCATCACCACCCAAGAGGCAGTGCGACAAGGAAAAGCAGTGATGGACTGCGGGGCCACCCCGCAGCATCGGGTCCGTCAAGGCCTTGGAGCAGCTGATGGCAGTGAACGTGGCAGCCTATGGGGATCCTCGGGTCCTCGATGTCGACAAGGACGACAGACCGGTGTTTGGGTTTGGAAATTCCTCGACAGATCGCTGCACCTCTACGGTCCGCATGGGACTACAAGCCGGGCCTCGCCAAGGAGCCGTACAAGTCCACGCCCTCGACAAAGGAGATGGACCGATCTTGCTCAGCATAGAAGCGATGACTATGCTGGGCGCGCTGGTGGACTTCAAGGCGAACCTGGCAGTCTTCCGCCACCTAGATGCAACGAAGCTTGTGCCCCTCGAGAGATCCGCAACCGGACATATGCTAGTGCCCTTGTCCGGAGATTTGTTTTGCAAAGCCAGGGATGCTGTACAGAAGATTCCAAGCTTGGCAGAGTTTTTATCCGGCCCTGCCGATGAGTAGGGACAACGCCTCTCCGACTTGTGTCCTGACGGGAAAGGAGAGGAGAGTGTTTTATCAGGACAGGGGACGCAGAGCGAGAGTCCCAGCGGATTCGTCGCTCGTGTAGGGAAGAGTGATCCTGAAATGTGTAGGGATATAGGTAGGTGTGAAGTGAGTTCAGTTTCCAGAGAAGCAGCCCCACCCAGCGATGTACATGAAGTACCTCCCCACGAGAATGTGAACGTGAACGATACTTCCGCGCAGCCGTTCTCCAACGACCTCAAGCCCAGAATCCACCGCGATTTTCCCAGGCGTCATGGCTGGGCTGACAAAGCAGAACCTGCGCAAGATGATCGAGAAGGAGGGCGAGACCGTCCCCCGCCAATGGACCCGAGTTGAGCTGATCCAGCGCATGGAGGAGATCACCGGCCACGATGTCACCCGCGAGACGAATACCACCAAGGACGAGGAGTCCGAGTACAGGGTGCTGGTGCGCGACCTGAACCATGCGTCGCGGCGCAAGGGCGAGCTGCAGCAGTTCTGTGCGGAGCGCCTGGGCACGCAGGTCAACCCGAACCTGACGATCGCCCAGCTGCAGAAGGATGCCATGTCAATCATTGCATCTCGGACCCCGCCAATGCCGTCAGACCTGGTGGGTTTCGGTCGTCACGCGAGCCTCTCATATGCCCGGGTGAAGGACGATCACCCAGATATTGCCGGTGGATCAAGGAGACAGCTCGCGAAGGACAGTGCAATCCTCGACTGCGGAGGCTGGCCGGATGGTTGCTCAACGACGTCAAGATGGTCCAGGAGGCTCAGAAGGAGATTCGTGCCCCGATCAAGAACAGCGACGGGAAGGGCACGATCATGGGCTACCCGACGGTTCAGGAACCACCCTCACCACGAGGAAAAGCATCCGGTTCCCGGCCCACGTCGTCTCAGGCTGCGGCAGAGATGGAGGAGGACGGCGTGAAGATCCCCGCCAAACAGCTGGCGGCCCTGGTGAGCACGATCGAGACCTTGAAGGAGGAGGTCTCGGTCCTGAAGGGCGAGAGGCCTCGGAAGGAGGCGACCTCGGAGGAGCCGGACGAGATGAGCTTGATGGGTTTTTCGATGGCGAGCACGCCGTGAGCCCCGAGGACACCGGGCAGTCATGTATGAGTGCTTCTGAGAGTCTGAGTAGGAAACTTAGCCTTGGCAGGGCACGTCAGTTTGAGCAGCTTTCATGCAGTGTTGTTCCGAAGATCTTTGAAGGTTTGGTGACGCAAGATAGGAGAGTGCTGCTGGAAGTTGCTTGTGATAGTAACAGTCTTCTCGCGGCCACAGTCCAGAGTGTGGCGGGACGAACAGACGCCGCTAGCCGGTGCCTTCTCCAGGACAAATGTGATTTGTCCACGGCTGAAGGGGTCCAGTTGGTTGTGAATAGGATCAAGCTCGAAAGACCCAGGCATGTGTGGATTAGTCCTCCCGGAAGCGCCTATTCCCCCTTCCAGGCCTTAAACCAGAAAACCTCTGAACAACGAGCGGAACTCAAACGAATCCGGAAGGAAGCCCTAAGAACCTACCAAGGCGCAGCTACAGTTGTGTATGCATGTCAGCAGATGGGAGTTCATTGTTCATGGGAATGGTCTGAGGGATGCAATGGGTGGAGGTTGCCTCTGATTCAGGAGTTGATTCGGAAGGGTGGCCTTCGGACTTCGATTGTGAAGTGATGTAGGGTCAACCTTAGACATCCTAGCAGTGACCAACTGGTTAAAACAGGGTGGAAAGTAGCGACTACCTGCCCTCGCCTGGCTGAAGTCCTGAATCTTCCCTGTAGGTGCGACCCGGCATATCAGCATGAACAGTTGAGTGGAAAACACACCCAAATCCTGCGTAGGTACACCCCGGAACTGTGTAAAAGGATTGCTTCTGTCATGAACCAAGAGATGAACGCACACCTGTTGTCCCAGGAAATCCGGGGGGAAAGCAGTTTGAGTGAGGGATTCGGAGAAGGGCTTGTGTGTCGGTGTCGTGAAGTGAGTGTACCGGAAGCTCCGAGGCAGTGTCATGCATGTGTTCAAGAGAAACCCAGCCAAACGGAGGCACAGGCGGTGCCCAAAGGTAATCAGGCGGGGATAGGAAATTCAGAGGGACATGGTGTTCAGGCTACAGGGACACAGCAGGCTGAAGGCGAAGATGAGGTGTCGATTGAGGAGTTTGAGGCTTTTATGGGTCAAGACGAGATTCAGGAAGTGGAGGCCCAAGCTCGGAAGCTGCTTCAGGCCAAAGACTTTGGGCAGGAGACATGTGCCCAACTCCTGAAACAACTCCCCTTCAAGCCCCTGTGCAAGCATCGTGGCATGCTAGGAGACCGCAGGTCCGTGTACGTGGTTCTGGGAGTGTACGCTTTCGGAAATCATTATGGTATCACGTCTCGCACTGCTAGTTTTACCCAGCTGAGTAGGTATTTGAACAAGTTCATGGAAAACTGGTCTGGAGGCCCCTTCTGCAGATCCTCGCTGGTTATTAGCTGGAACAACATGTTGCCTCTCCACCGTGATGTGAACAACGACGACAGATTTAAAAATCACATGATAGGGCTAGGAAGATACGAACATGGGGAGCTGTGGCTCCAAAGCCCCGAGAATGGAGACCACAGCGCGGAGCTACGACGACAGCTTCCCAATGGAGAATGGATCTGACGGCGTATGTGTCCCGAGGCTCCCGTCACCTGAGTGAGGCGGAGAGAGCGAGAGCGAGGGAGTGTGGTTTTGTGTTACCCCCGGCAGAACCCCACCTCTGTCACAAGGCCCCTGAGGAGGCGCTATCAGCGGAATCACAACAAAAGGCTGAAGAGGAGCGCATCATGAAGCAGTTATACTTGTTGCACTCGGCGACGGGGCACGGGAGTGTGAAAACCATGATCGATGCCTTGAAGCGCTGAGGTGCCTCCAAACAAGTGTTGGAGGCGGCGTCACGGTTTGTGTGTTCGGCTTGTCAAGAAAGAAAGAGACCCCCTCCCCGGAGGCTGGCTTCGCTTGAGGTGCTCCCACCCCGGTGGCAAACCATTTCGGCGGATGTGGGACACTGGACCCACCCCAAGAGTGGAGAGGTGGTGCAGTTCATGTTGGTGATTGATGAGGGGTCCAGATTTAGGATTGCGAAAGTCTTGAGCAAGGGAGTTCGACAACAACCCAATGCCGCCACGTGTCTCTCATACTTACGAGAATCTTGGTTCCAAGTGTTCGGTCGGCCGGACGTCCTCCGGCTTGATCCGGCGGGGTCCTTCAGGGGACAACAGGTTGAAGGCTTCTGTGACCGACACTCAGTGTATTTGGACGTCATTCCTGCGGACGCTCATTGGCAGATTGGGGTGTGTGACACGTGTGTGAGAATGCAGTTAAGGGCTTGAAGCATGTCATGGAAAGAGTGTGCGCCTGTGATGAACAGTTGTCCGTGGAAGAAGCCTTGGCTCTTGCGGTTGAAGTCTTCAACAGTAGAGAGCAAGTGAGGGGCTTCACGCCCATACAACACGCGTTCGGGCGGAACCCGGACGTGACAGGACGCCTCATTCATCGTGCCGAGCAGATCCCGGACGAGGCCTTGGTGGAGAACGCGTCAGAGGATTTTGCCCGAGTTGCACAGACCCGGGCAGATGCAGAGAAGGCCTTGTGCGACTGGCAGGCCCGTCAGAGGATTAGAGTCGCGCCATGCATTCCCGGAGCAGGCCCCAAGCCACCTACAGGCCGGGAGACTTGGTCTACTTCTGGCGAACCCAGGAAAGTGGGAAGAGCCGGCGAGCACCAGGGACGACGAGAAGCCGATGGTTCACACAGGCCAGGCAGCGCAGTCTGGCTAGCGGCTAGTGAGAGGGAGATCTCTCCTCAAATGCTGCCCGGAGCAGCTGAGGCCAGCTTCTCCCTGAGAGGAGCTCCTTGAGGCTTTAGCAGCGGGGAACCACGGAGACGGGACCCCCTGGACGTTCAATCGCCTCGCGGAGTCGGCGGAAATCGTTTCGAGGATATCTCGGGAGAGCGGCCAGCCCTCAGTGAGTGGCACAGGGCCCAAGACCCCACCGAGGAGGAGCCGCCTACCAGGTTTCGCGTACGCGGAAAGCGAGCCGCGCCAGACCAGTCGGAGGATGCCACCATGGAGCCGACAGCGACAGCGGAGGAGCCCTCACAGCCTAGCAGACCTTCCCGGCCTCGCCTCGCAGGACAAGGCAGGGTAAGGGAGGAAGCTCAGGAAGCTTGGTGGGCTACCATCCCCGACGAGCACTTCGCTACAGCTTCAAGTTTCTGGGCAGACGACAAGGCCGCTGTGGAGGTGGCCATCGACATGCCAGAGACCCCGAAAGGGCTACAGGCAGCTACGCGGGACTTGACAGGCTACTGCGTGAGCGCGCTGAAACGGCGCGCCGTCGAGGTCAGCGAGAAACGTCTCGCTGAAGGCGAAAAGGAGGCTTTCCGAGAGGCTAAAGCTACTGAGGTACGCAACTTTGTTGCCTCGCAGGCCTTTGAGGCCCTCCCTGAGGGGCCCAAGCCAGACAAGGGCACTGCTGTGGGAATGAGGTCGGTGACAACGGGCAGCAGAAGGCAAAGGCAAGAGCAGTGCTCTTAGGCTACCAAGACCCAAGCTATGCTCACCGATCGACGACATCTCCAGTGATGACCAGGCAGACGCGACAGATGCTCCTGCAAACCGCCGCCATCAAGAAATGGTCAGTATATAAAGGAGATGTGAGCGGAGCTTTCTTGCAAGGCCGGGATTATCCTGATCGTCTACTTTGCGTTCCCTGCGACGAGATCTGTGCAGCCATGAATCTGCCAGCAGGCAGTGTGGTGCGCCTAGGGAAGGCGTGCTATGGGTTGGTGGACGCACCACTAGAGTGGTATAGGACGGTCTCGGAATTTCTCGAAGCCCAAGGCATGGAACGTTGCTGGTCGGACGCATGCTCGTGGGTGCTCCGAAAAGAGAGTCGCTTGATAGGGCTGATTTCGGGTCACGTGGACGATTTCTTGTTCACAGGAGATGAACGGGATGAGGATTGGAACCGACTCATCAAGGCTATTCAGGATAGGTTTAGGTGGGGCGATCGGGATAAGGACAATTTTGTTCAGTGTGGGGTGCAGGTCACTCGTGAAGGGAATTGTTTCCGGTTATCCCAGCCAGCCTACGTGGAAGCCATTCCGGAAATCTACGTGAGCAGCCACCGTAGGAAACAGGAAAAGACAGCCCAACCACGGCCCAGGAGAAATCTAAGTCGAGAGGACTCCTCGGGGCGATCAGCTGGCATGCCCAGCAAGTCTCCCCACATGCTTCAGCCGAGATGAGCCTGCTGTTATCGGAAGTCTGTGTGAGCCGTGTAAGCACCATCCTCCAAGCCAACAAGCTTCTCCAATCCATCAAAGCTAAGAAGAACCACTCCCTCCGGATACATGATTTCAACGAGGACGAGGAACTGGGCATGTTTGCCTGGGTTGATGCCGGTTCGCAGAACCGGCCTGATGGCAGTGGAACCATGGGGATTGTCGTAGGCATCGCTCCCTTGAACATGCTGCAAGGTGAAGTAGGGCGTGTGTCGGTCATGTCATGGCATTCCAATAAGATCGAGCGTAGTTGTAGGAGTCCTGGAGCCGCCGAATGTCAAGCGGCCATTCACGGAGAGGATATTCTCTACTACTCGAGATACCAATGGAGTGAATTGTGGCATGGTGATGTTGATGTGAGGGACCCCAATGCCTGTGTCTTGAAAGTCCCCGGGACCCTAGTGACTGACTCTAGGAACGTGTATGACAAGCTAGCAACAGAAGTTCTCTCAATCAAAGGAGCTGAACGGAAGTCGAACCTAGAGCTCTTGAGTGTGAAAGAGGCACAGATGCGTACCCAACTACAAGTGCGCTGGGTACACTCGGAGGCGCAGCTCGCGAACTCCTTGACGAAACAGAACGGCGGCCACGAGCTGGAACTGTTCTACCGGATGAACCAAGCATGGCGAATAGTGGAGGACCCGACAATGAGATCAGCAAGGAAGCGCAAAGCAGATGGAGTACCACCGTTGGCGAGCACCAGTTCACACGTGGGTGATGCTTCCAAGGAAACTGAACAGGGGGAACAATGTTTATTTCAGGATCACTTTTATTAGGACCCCGAATACCGGGACATGCAAGCTTTCAGGCTTGGCAGCTGCAGACGCTTATGTGTCCTGCGCGGCTTCGTATGATCAAAGGCATTCGCTGGGGTAGTGTGGCCAAAAGACCGCTTCGCTTAAGCCATAGCTGGTGTCCGAGCCACTTGCCCCTCTACGGTGCCATCATCGACAGCTAGAGCACCCGAGAGCTGTTACCACTTACAAACCCTAAACCCCTAAACCCCTAAACCCTAAACCCCTACACCCATAAACCCTAAAAACCTAAACCCCTAAACCCTAAACCCATAAACCCTAAAACCTAAACCACTAAACCCTAAACCCCTAAACCCCTAAACCCATAAACCCTAAACCCTAAACCCCTAAACCCTAAACCCTAAACACCTAAACCCCTAAACCCTCAACCGGGGCTCCGCCTTGCCCCGAAGAAGCTGCAGGAGCTCGGAGACCTCGGGCTTCGGCGCACCGGAATTCCTGAACTTCGCCGGGTAGCTGGGGTTAGGGTTTAGGGTTTAGGGTTTAGGGTTTAGGGTTCAGGGGTTAGGGTTTAGGGTTTAGGGGCTTCGACTTTTCTTCGAGCCTTTTTGGGCTTTTTATGCTGCTTCGTTACAAGGGCTCAGAATAGACAATAGGTTTGCTAGATGAAAGGGACAATAGGGTTGCTAGATGAAGGGCTCTATAGGGTTTAGAGGTTAGGTTTGGGAACGTGGGGGTGCTTTAGGGTGTCGGGCTTTTCGGCTTTTGTATGGCCCCAAGGAAGGTGAGCCTTCTAGTGATTGTAGGAGTTCACAGCCCTTGAACAGAGAAGAATTGCCTACTCAGCAGAGTGTGGAAGGACTCAAGATTTACGGTTTTTGGGCGTGCGTGGAAGGTTGGGGGACATAGTAAGCAGGTAACATGTAGAGTTATAAAGACCATAAGCGGCACCTTATGTGGGTTTATGATACTTATAACTCTATAAACTAACTACTTACTACATCCCCCGACCCTCCAAGTAGGAACAGTAGGGTTGAGAAAATTTGCTGCTGCCGGGCTTACTTTGGCCCGAGACCCCGCGAAAGGCCGAAACCCTAAAGTGTAATGTCCTGTAACCTCAGTTAGCCTCCAAAGCCACCCAACAACCTGAACCCCGGTACATTGCCGGATTTTCAATGCCGAACTCATGGACTTGGGAACGTCAAGAGCATGTCAGAACTTACTTCTGCTTTTGTACCATGGCAATAAGGTGCGCAAGAGCCCGTGAGCCTTTTAGAGGAACCTGCTGAGCTGCTGTTTTCGTACGGGCACAGTACAAGGATATTTTTTTAGCATACTGATGACCTAAACTACCTGAACAGTGATAGCCATTCTTAGTAACCAGTTGATCAAACAACAAGACACAACACCTTGTGAGGACACGGACCCGGAAGCCAAAACCCTGAGATCTAAATCCCCAAATCGCAAACTGAAGCCTGGCCCTAGGCATTTGTGGCCCCAAATTTTCCCTCACTATAAATAAATCCCCCAAGAAGTGATAGACACCGTATACATACCCCTCTCCCAACAGCACAAAAGCAAACACACAACTACAAGCTTTTGCGAACAACTTACACAAGCTATAACCAAACAAAAGACAAACTAATTATGGTATCTAAACCTATATCTACAGCTATATCTGTACTTAGCTGTAGCTATAACTATATCTGCAGCCTATATCTGTCATCTGTGTCACTATCCATATACCTAGCCGGTAGTCAATTCGAATCTATCCAACATGGCGCGACAAATCTACAAAACACCACCCCCCCTGACCTAAACCCTAAACCCTAAACCCTAAACCCTGAACCCTAAACCCTAAACCCTAAACTTGAAGCCCCGACTCCCCGGCCTGAACAAGGCCTCTAGGAACTCGCAGCTCGACTTGGGCAGCACCAGGAGGAGCCACGGCCTGAGAAAAGCTGCGTAGGAGGAGGCATTTTTCTAAAGGGTCTGTTATCGGGTTTAGGGTTTAAGGCTTGCGGTTTATAGGGTTTAGGGTTTAGG